TATGAGAGTCTGAGCCCCTGCCCCCACCCCCACCCCCACCCCAGGGTCCCTCTGCCGTCTCTCCCCCACACCACCACCTTCCCCAGAAGTCCCAGCGCTATTTTAGCCCCTAGGCAGGCAGCTGGGGCGGGGAGGCGGGTGCTGCCTGTTGGACCGCCACCCAGGCACAAGGCTGCCCCTCCCCCTGCTGGGGACGCGCACTGGCTTCTGCCTCCATGGCCTCCTGTTTGCCAGCACAGCCTTCCTCTTCTCGACACGGGGAGTCCAAAGCAGAACGGGAGAGGAATCAACTGGTGGGAGTCAGCAGCGTCGCGCTGATAGACAAGGCGGACAAGACGCAGACAGCAAAGACCCTGAAGGGCCTGGTCAAGAAAAAGGAGAAGGCGGGGGTAGGTGTGCTGCGGGCAGGAGGGCCTTGGGCAATCTTGAGAGCAGCAGCGAGGAAACCTCACGGGACACAGGGGGAGCGGCAGGCAAGAAGGCTTCAGGCCCAGGGTTCCCACATTGGCCTCCTCCCAGCCGGCCCCCCACCCCCTCAGGAGGGAGGACTTTCATTTGTCTTCTTACATCCTTCACAGGAAGTGGTGAAGAAAGAGGAGAAGTCGGGGTCTGGGCAGTCACCCATACCAGGAAACCTAAAGAAGGAAGACGCCGCCAAGACAAGCAAGGGGAGTAAGTGCTGGCATCCCTCTGAGGCTGGTACCCCTTCTTGGTGTGGAGGAAGGAGCAGGGGGCAGGAGGCAGGAGGCACGCGCTGGTCTTCTGGGCATCATCCCTTTCTAGTCCGTTTCTTTCCAGGAGGTGGTGTGGAAAGCCCTACCCAGTCCCTTACCCTGACCACTGCAGCTCGCTTCCCTGGGCCCGACCCCAGGGAAGAGGGCCTTGCCCTGAGAAGAGGACCCCCTCCAGCTGGGGTCCCCTCAAGCTCTGCTTCTGTTGCACCCAAACCCAGTTTGAGGAGTCACCTCCCTGGCCCAGCCCTTCTCTCTGGGGACTCTGGGTGGTAACAGGTCTGCACTGTGCGTTCTGAACCTCTTCCTGCCCCAGAGGTGACCATCCCCGAGCAGAAGCCAACCAGGGGGAAAGGGCAGAAGACTGGGAGCAAGGAGAAGCGCAGCATCCTCCTGGAGTCAGAGGTGGGCTCCGGGCGGGGGTGTGTGGGGGTGGGGGCGGCGCGTCCTGTACTGTGGCAGCGGCCACTTCCACATGACACCCCCGTCCCAGCCTGGGCTTGCAGGGGGGACAACAGGATGCCCCTCCCTTCAGGCTTGAGGAGCCCCCTCCCCCGCTTTTTCCTTGCTCACTAGGAGCTTATACTTTTGATCCTGTCTCACCTCAGTTTGCTTCCCCAAAGGCCACTGACTGACCATCACCACCTCCATGTCCGCTGGGACAGCTGCCCTGGGCACAGGGCGTCTAGTCATGCTGTTGCCCTACTGTGTGTGAGGCTCCTCAGACCCTCCTTGCCCTGGATCCTCCCTTTCCCTCCCACTAGGACCAATTTGTTCCTTGCTTCCCGGACGGTCACCCATAGCTCCCTCTGCCAGCCGTCCTCTCCAAGAGGTTGTCTCTGGCCATCAGGAGACCTTCCCCCTTAGGAGTCCCCTCTGGCATCTGAGACAAGACCTTGCAAAAGAGGACGGTCAGGTAGAGAAGGGGGTGAGGTGCCTCGCACTCCGTTGTCCCGTCTTGTCCAGGCTGCCGTTTCTCCCCAGGACTATGGCGCTTTCTTCTCACCCTCTCACCAGTCCCTCCCATCACTGCCCTCGGCGCGCTAGCCCTTAGGAAACGGGAAGACTCCTGTGCCATGTACCGTTTCAGGCCTTTGACGACCTGCTTTCTTTGCCTGGGAACACCTTTCCTCTCATCTTCATCTGGTAGCTACTGGGTGCCATTCAGACTTCAGCTCACAGGCCACCTCTGCTGGGAGACCGGGCTAGTGCCCCTCCTCTGTGCTCCTGCAGTGCCCTGCGCTGACCCCTGCCACTTGTCACGCACGCATGCCATACTATCATTTCACTTTCTGCCTCCCACGCCCCGTGGCTTCCTGAGGACGTGGGCATATTTATTTTTGTATCCCCAGCACCTAGGAGAGCCTGGACTATAGCCGCCCTCAAAACATGTGTTGATGAATGAGTGACCTGCTGACCAGCCTCTCCTTTGCTGCAATTACTATTCTACTTTAGCAGCTGATCGTTGAAGCTACGGAGATGGTCAACCCTCTTTTGGAGCCCGTGGAACACCGAGATGGGAAAGTTTTCTTGCTTGGGAACAAGGTCCTTTTGCACCTCAACCTCCTCCGTAAGTGTGCCAACCAGCCCTGCCCTCCTGTCCCAAGGCTACTTGAGGCCCATACGGCCCTAAGGGT